TCGATTTATCGTTCCACGAAACCGTCTTACTTAATAGTTAATCCGACGTTCTATTCGATAATTCAACGTGCCGCCGATATGGAACCGCCTGTAGACGGGAACTGCAACTGTTGCAACATCGTCCCCACTCCAGCGGCTAGAATTTTCGGTTGGATAATGTAGCAATATCGCTCCGTGCCGGATGAATCTCGCCTGTTACGTCGCCATCATCTGCCGTACTAGAATTATACGTCTTTAACGTTTATTCTAGGACGTTAGCTACCCTCTCTACTGGAGCCTCGGCTATAGCGCGTGCGAACGAGACGTACACGCGAAACTTTTGTAACCGTAACGCCGAATTTCCGCGATACCATTGATTCTGGATGCTGGGGACAGATTTCGGAGCACTCGCCTCGGGGGGAATTACTTGGGACAGTATACTCGCGTGTAATAACGCCTCGCAGGTCGAATCTACCCCTTCCAACGCGGTCTCTACTAATTGTTCCCGTGAAGATTCGCAAATGAATTCTCTTCGGTGGATTCGGATAACTTTACTACGCGAATGAAACCGTTGCTACGATACGCTGACGGTCGTTGTATGTCTAGTTATAACACGGATAAACGTTTAAATTTCAAACGGTTAAAGGGAAAAGTTGAAATCTAAAGGCACCGTGTCAATCGGAGCACTTAACGTCCCATCATTACCGTTAAGCGCTTGTATTTCTCATCGGATCTTAATGAGCAGTTATCAATAGCCTAGCGAGGTCCTCCTGGTAAAAATAAGTCGAGATCGATCTCGTTCAGGCACATTGTTGCCCGTGAGAGTTTCTCGGAGCATGGCTGTTAGACGCAGTCGAGCCACGAATTCTTGAAGGAAAAATTGGTTTGCCCTCGTTGACTCGTGAACGACGAGTACGGGCGAGGAACTGGGGAGAGAAAAAAGAGGAAAACGAAAAGGGAGAGACCGCTCCGAAGTTCGGTGCTCCACCTGGGCCAGGCGTTATCGCACGCTGTTAACGCGTCCACCGTGGTGGTCACCGATGACCGGCACTTCCGAATCGTTTTAAATTAACACGTCCACGAGCAGCGTTCATTCCATCGATCCTTACACTGATGAAAACATTGCATAGAAAACGATGTTGGACACCAGACTTTACCAGAAGACTTCGATATTAGAGTTAATTCATTTTCTTTACGCGAGATAGAAAATATCGAGCATCGCAGATACGCGACGCCGGTCGCGGTCGTGTTAAACAATTACATAATTACGAATCGCTCCCATTTGTCTCCGCTGTAAACGAATAAGCCGCACCACGCGAAGAGCTCGAGATTCTCGTGGTAGTGAACGCGTTAAGGCCAGAGGTAACGAGCCGCGTGTTTTGGAGCGGCCTGTATCCGTACTTTTTCTCACATTCGCGCCGCCTCGTCTCTCGTCCTCGACGAAATCGGTCGGTGCGCGTTCGCGATACGCGCGACGATGGAATAAACATCGTGGCCGATACCAGGCGAGCCGTGGCGATGCGAGGCGGGGCGAGGGGAGGAGAAACGAGACGACGATTGCGACGATAGACTCTCGTTCGCGCGAACCGGAGAGCAGCCGACTGGCTAGCCCCGGCTAGAACGCGGCGTGATCTATCCTCTTGTCCAAAATCGATGTAACGGTCGGCCGGGACACGGGGGCATCGAAAGCTTTCCAGCTGAAAAACTCGTCGCGCCGCTTTCGTTCGGGGCGTTCGCGTCGCGATCTCGCAACGTCCGTTGCCTACGAGATACACGAGAAAACGTGTCCCTACTGATTAATCGGCTGGCCGTCCCGACGACCAGATCTCGCCGTGAAAACCGCTGTTAGTTACGCGGGAAATGACGCGCGCGAGATGCCCCGGTTCGATTGGGCTCCGAAGATACGATTGAAAATTACGTCGAAAAGAGGGCACCGACACGGGCCAGCACGTTATCGACGCGTGACGATGGGCCTAGTCGTGTTGCAACGACGACAGAAAAATCGGCGAATCGGTAGAAATGTGATTACCCAATCGTTTTCGATTTCCAGCTCGGACGATCAGCGTCACGTGGGAAACGATCGCAATATTTTCCGGCAGCGGAATACACGTTTCTTTTTTCGCAAGCCCGACAGTCGTGCGAGGCTGGACGGCTGATCGAACGGACGCCTTTCTTCTGCGATCTCTCTGTACACGGTCGCTAAGGTTACTTCGAATCACGGTCTCTTCCGGCCGGTAGGGTCGTCGTCTCCCTACTCTCGTTTCTTGGGGTACGAGCGTATATAGAAGCCTGCGGCGGAGGGATCGGAGAGCAGCTGGGGGTCTATCTGTAGCCTCGCATGATGCCCGATAACGCGGCCAAAGTTTCGCGAAAGAAAATCCGAAACGTTTCGACCGGAACGACGCGATCGGCTTTACGGTGCTCCGACTCTCGATAGGACGGAGGAACAATGAGAATATTATACCACTGAGAAGACACTTAGGATAAACTGGAGGATTCTTAATAGGCGTCTCACGGGAAGTGCAGAATCGTTAGATTGTCGCGTACATTCCTTCTGTTAGAGTATTTCTAGGAACTTCACGGAAGGCGATCGTTTAACCTGCCAGATCTCGTCGCACTTCTTCCAATCATCGACAGTGAGAAACCTCTCACGATGTCAGGAAAGCTGTCTAAAGTTGCCAATGGTTACAATGGGTTCTAGAAAATTGTCTAAAAAGATTGACAACCGAGTTTCCGAACGAACTCGACCATCGAACTGAACAGTCCTCGGAAAGGTCCGGTATTCGAGAATGAAAGAGCAGAGATACTCGCGGAACTTTGCAACTGCCCGCTAGTGGTAGCTAGTTCGAGAGTTTCGAAGGGGTAGTCGGATCGTTTTCGCTGATACGATTGAGATCGGTCCTGCGCTGTCATCGCTCGCGATCCTGTTCGAGAATGTTACTTCTCACGGAGCAGACCGATATAAATAGACGAAGCACTAAGACATCGCGAGACGTTCGGTGTGTATACGGTGGCCGACTCGGGGTCCAAATGGTCTACGACTAATTTCTAACGAGATAATTGGCCGTAATGCGCGGCGTGCCAGCCTTTGTCCGCGACGGGGATCTCGTGGTCGCTCGCGACGATGAGAAACGAGTTAACGCTTCCCGATTCCAGGGCCGACGAACCCCGGTCGGTGTGGACGGGCCTTTATTTAGGCGCGTCCCTGCATTCGCGACACGTGCTGCACTCGAGGAATAGCCGCCGCGAGTCTCCGTGTAGACGGATACGAACGGGCGAACGAGGAATAACGAGATCTCCGGGCTGCTCTTGAAGAGTAACTTCAATCCGTTAACCGGCGAGGACGAAGGAACTCGAGTAAACGCATTCACCAGCGTTCCCGCTAAAAAGAAGAATCGCTCTATTCCTCCTCCTGTCTCGAAAAACGCGAGTCCTTTCACGACGCAACACCGACGATCAGAGATTCCGCGGATGTCGGATGTAACGAGTCAGAGAAAATCAAGGAATCAAATCGGATCTTGCGTTTCATAGAGGAATATCTGATCGCTACGAAGATACTATTGCACTGTATCTGTTCCGTTTTCCATCGACGACGTTAACGAATGTACATTAGCATCTGAAAGTTATCGAGTTACTCCGCAAAAATGACAATACGGATAAGCTTGTTGAGCGAACGAACGCGTCGATTCACGGGAGTTAGCAAACGAGAGTTTCCGTGTTTGATCCGGTAACTTGGATAAAAAATGAGGCGAGCGATTCGAAAGTTTTGGCCGATAGCGTAAGTCGGGGAATTGAGAATAATTCTCAGTCACAACTCCGTATCTGTTTGAGCGATTAACGGGGCTGCCTCTGGCCGTATTCGCGCTAGCCACCGCTCGAGGACTCGATCGTCGTCGCCGACAAAAACCGGGCGGCGTTAATTTTCTTGGCAACGATAACGAGCGTCGAGGAGCGAGTTTATCACGGTTGTATCTCTCTCGGCGCGAAATACCGCGATATTCGATCAATACCGGCAGGTATTCGACGGCACACGCGTTTTCGTTCGCGTAGCAAGGGCTGCTGGTACTGGTGCCGGTGTTGGTGCTGGTACTGGTGCTGTTTGGCGGTTTCGCTGCGCCGCGACGGCGGCAGGCGAGTGGAAAAACGGAAAGGACAATTCTCCGAGCGGGGAGAACGAGGATAAAACGCACCCGTATACCTACCGGGTGGTTGGAACCCGATGGAGGGGGACCGAGAACGAGGCAACGGGATTCTAGCTACCTGAGAAACCTTCGGGAAAGTGGGCTAAACACCGTGACACGGCCTAACCGTTCCCTAGGCCGCGTGCGATTTGTCCGAGAAGCTTTTGCGAATTATCCTTGCTCGGTCTAGGCTCGTCTCGTTTCGTTTCGTTTCGGTATCGGTTCGTATTTATCGCGTGGACGTTTCGTGGAAAGAGATTATCGGGAACACGACTCGAGAAAATATAGAACCAGTCGGATCGTCGTGGCGAAAATGAAGCGAGATGGTACGGACAGGGCACAAACTGCGGAGTATAGGAACAACTTGGAATATAAACGAGACACGTTCGTTTATATGTACTAGATAAGTAACGATACTGGATCCGGTACGGCTAAACAGTAGAGAATGGGATAGAGTTTATTGTAAGTGGCCGTCTCGCGAGTAGCTCAGGAAAGAAAAGCGACACGTTCGAGCAGACTCGAATCTTGAGGAGATAAGCTCGAAGTCGTTGAAACCCTTTGGAAAATCTATCCGATAGTTTCGGCTATAGCGGAATCTTAATTAAGTTGTTTCGATCTCCCTTACGGGTAGTGTCATCGGAACTCTGCATACTCGCAACGCGTAAATTCGCTGAGTTTCGAGATCGAATTGAACTCGTTTAAATTAAAACTGTTGTGTTATCATTGGCTGGACCGCTGAACCGAAACGCCAACGTCGAGAGTGCATTTCATTTGTTTAGCATTGAGGTTTTCCGGAATGTGGAATCACGTCGTTTTGTGTTTCTCGTTACAGGTATCATCACGGACAGTTCCGTTCCACAATAAGAAAAATGTCGGGAGCGGGCAAAAGGACTTACCTCCGCGAGGTGAATCCCTATCTCGTTTGCCTGTTGTGCAGGGGGTACCTCATAGACGCGACCACCGTCGTCGAGTGCTTGCATTCGTGTAAGTGAATCGAATCGGTCGAGGATGATATTTCTCGGCTCTGTCTGGCCTGGGACGGATAATGATATGCTTACTTGTTCTTTTCCTCTGCTGTTTCCAGTTTGCAGAAGCTGTATTTTGAAGCATCTGAACACGGAGGCCCAGTGTCCGTCTTGCAAACATGTTCTCAACAAGGCGAAGCCGAACATTAAGTATGTTCGTCGTTTTATTCATCGACGAAACGAATCGTTTAAATACCGAGCAGATGTTTAGATCGATCGTGTTTGATTTCAGAGCGGACAAGGCGTTGCAAGAAATCGTGTACAAATTAGTTCCCGGATTGTATCACAAAGAGATGCGCAAGAGAAGAGAGTTCTACAAGAAACATCCGGAGCATGGTAACGTTTCAACTTTTACTGTTCCTATATCATCCCTCTCGGAAAGCGTTCGAACAAAATCGCTCGAGTGGATGCAGAAATTTATAGAACGTATTAATACGAAAGTATTCTCGTAATTATTCATTGGGATACGAATGTTCGCATCAATACTTAATTCGTATTAAAGCAACCGTTTCATTTATTATTAATGCGAATTCCTCGATGACTGGCGTAACTTGAAAATAAACTTTCCAGCGGATTTCGCGACACCGGAGCAACGCGGCGAAGACGTTAGCGGAAGACTGATCTTCGCTCCGGAGGATGCGGTCAGTTTGAGCTTAGAGTACCTGCCACCCGGGGCAGATCCTCTGACGATTCTGCTCAGCACCAGCGACGACGCGAACAACTTGAATGGATTAAACAACCACAATAACAACAGCAGTAGTGGTAACAGTAACACCGGAAATCATAATATGAACTCCACGAGCAACAGACGGTACCTTCAGTGTCCCGCGCTGGTGACTATAGCGCATCTAAAGAAATTCCTGGCTTTGAAGTACAGCGTCGACATGACCAGATATACGATTGAAATTTGCCATCGGCGTGCTCCACTTCCGGAACACTGGACGCTCATGGACGTCGCTTACATTTACGCGTGGAAAAGGGTATGCCTTTACTGTCATTAACGCTTCGCAGTCGAAGGATTTATTCACTCATATTACCAGCAACTCGTAGTAATTTCAATAGAACAAAGATTCTAACAAGCATTCGCATATAATTAAATGATATGCGCGTAAAAAGAAAACTGATAGCTCTATTTTATTGTATATTCATTGAATATGAATTCAAATGTTATAATATACATAAAGATCAAATTTTACAGTGTATTATGACAAATCTTAAATGGTTCCGCTCCGGAGTTCTCGAGTGCAAAGTGTTAACTTAAGCAGGGAAAACGATAAATTCGCCTAGAAAACACTTGTCCCAGCATGTAACGTACGATCATCTTGTTTTCAGAATGCACCGATGCGATTTTTTTACCGAGTAGCCTTGGAGGAGCAGCGATTGGAGGTACCACCTCACGACAGGCCTTCCACTCCCGGTTTGGGCGCTAGTTTACCTCCAGTGGACGCAGCAGTCATCTCTATGCCAGACAACGTGAACAAGGAAAACACGCAGAGCAACGTGGAATCGAAGCCTGAGATCGAGAAAACGAAGAATCGCGAGGAGAGAGCCACGTTAGACGCCAGGAACGAAGTTCCAAGTGAGAAGATGCGGGTTTCGAGTGGACAGAAGCTCGCGGCGGAACCCAAGAACGTCGAGGCGAAAGCGGAACAACCGTTGAGCAGTGCCGCGGTGTCGACTACAGTCACATCGACGACGATTTCACTCGGCACGACGAATACGACGAATACGACGACTACGACAACCACGCCGGTGACTAATACGAGTCCTTCTACTACCACCGCGAATAACGAGGGTACGAAACAAATTAAAACGCCCATCAAGATACTCAAGAATCCAGACGGACGGTACGAAGTGTTGAGAAGCCCGGCCATCAGCTGGAACTCGAAGGAACAGAGCTCAACGAGCACAGAGCCGAAATCGTCCAGCCCCGAGTTCAGCGTGGTCAGCATAGGCAGCGGGCAGAACTCAAACGGCGTGAAGATAACGCTGAAGCAATGCACGCCGAACAATACGAGCCCCAAGAAACCTAAGGTTATCAGCAACGTTTTGTTGCATTGCGGCCAGACGGAGAAAGACGCGGCGAGCGCGTTGGTCATCCAACAGATCCAAAGAGACCGGGAGAAGCAACAAGCGGACAAACAAGAGAAGCAGAGACGCAGGGTCACGTTCATGGATCGATCGACTCCCGAGAAGCCAGTGAACAACGCGTTGAAAGCCACGCCGAAGAGACCCGGCGAGCAACAAGAGAAGAAACAATTCCTTCAAGGGTTCCAATTGACCGCTAGAGAAACGGGGACCGATTCCTTATTGGACTCGAGTTCGAAGTTGACCGAGGCCAGTGCCACCGGTGATCCTAGCGATGCTCAAACCAAGAGTAACAACGGCGCGACGAAAAAGGAAGAGAACTCGAAGATCGAGGCGTCGGTCAGCGCGGATGGACAGAATAAAAATAACGTGGAGAACGGTACTGGTGTTAATGCGATCGGATGCACCGCGAACGCGAGTAAACGCGTGCCAACGGTGAGCGGAATTAGCGGCAATGCGCGAGTGAATGCGAACAAACAGTGCAGTGAGGTGGATACGCGAGCGTTCGGTTATGCGAAGAGTTCTAGTGCGACCACCGTGAACGTGAACGTTAACGCTACCGGTAATCCCGCGAAAGTCGATGTGTATACTTTCTCCAACGACCCACCGGTGGTCCCAGCAGGAGCGGTTAAGAGGAAATGTCCACCGGGTTTGCCGATCTTCGACGTTAAACGCAAGAGGCAGCAACAGGTTCACACGCAGACCGCGAAGAAACAGGCACCTGTTACGGTACCATCCTCCCCTCTGCCGACTACCATTCCGAACAACGTCAAATCACCTCGGAAGCTGGCTACCGAGCATGTTATCCCCACGAAGAGACCGACCACCGTAATCGGAGAAGCTGGTCCCAGTCGAGCTCCACCCACGCAGTGCCCGAAATCCCCTTCGAATCCAATGCTCTCGAATGACACGAGAAACATCTTAGACGGCTGCGGACTGAACATCCCCGCGAGTCTCAGCATAACTCTGACCGCGCCGAAATCCCCGGGCAGTAGCGGTGGCTTCGTGGAGCCGAACGATTCCAAAGATAATCGAAAGAACGCGCTGGGAAAGGTGAGCCCCAGCATCACTTTGAACGATCGATCCGTGGATCCGCGTGTATTGAAAGCACTGAAGGCTGGCCAGATTAAGATGCCAGCGCCGCCTAAACCGAGGCAGACCAAGCAACCGGAGCGGGAGATGAACCAACAACGACAAACGCCCACCGGAAAGCGAAAGAGAGAGCAGGAGTCTAGGGACATCCTGGACCTGAGCGGCGGAAAGAAAGTGGATATGCATCCTCTGAGAATACCGCAACCAGTTGCTAAGTTGAAAGCGAAGTCGTCGATCAGAGACAACATGCCGAACATGTCCGACCAGGGCCAGGTGGTAACACTGATGGGTGGTCACAGGTATTACAGAGCACCACCTGGTTCCCTGACTCCGGCAGCTCATCGAGTGAGCGACTGTCCGATTCCCACTCCAGCGCGCACACCGGTCTACGCGCCAGGACTTTCGAGTCCTATGAGCAACAATCGGTCAGGCACGAACCTCTCGTCCGTTTTTCCAAGCTTACAGAGCCTCTACGCTCTGAGCCAAGCACCGAATCTTCAACAGTTCCAAATGGACGCGAGGCTGAGGCTACCACGGCCAACGGACGTAAATTCCTCTGGCATTAACATCGATAACAGAAGTGTGAACAGCAGCTTGCCAGGGAAGAGTCACTTAGCTGCGCAATGCGCGCCGGTGAAACCAGCCAGATCCTCGGTCGCACCTCTGGCCGTGCCTATTAGCAAGCAGCCGCAACAACAGCAGCAGCAGCAGCAGCAGCAACAGCAACAGCCGAGCGAGAGATCCCCAACTGCTGCTACCGCCTGCTTGAATCGCGTTCTCGCCAACGAGATCAACAAAACCGCCTCGTTTCGAACCAACGATTCGTTGGATTCTACTGACAGTGGTCAGCAGCAATTGTCCGTCCAAACCAAGTATCCTGCGACCGCGGAGAGTAACAACCGGTACTCGCCGCGAAGCAGCACTAACAACACTGGAAACAGCGAGGACAAGACGTCCACGGAGATACCTCGCGATTCGAGCGTAGAATCGAACAACGATTCCAAGAAGGAACCACCGGACGATTCAACGCGGCAGACGCCTCATCGAGAAGCGGCTAGCCCCAGAGTGTCGTCGACGGCTTCTCCGTCGCCGCCACCCGGTGATAATAGCTCAAACGCGAACAATGAAAACGTTGCTGGTCGCAACGATAACGTGAGCACCGGTTCGAATGGAATCGACAACGATGTACCTGCACCGAGCCCGGCGAAGAGCAACTCGACCGCCGAAGTGTCGAGCAGCAAATCACCGGCCAGTCCGGACTCCAGCTCGGTGACGATCGAGAGCAGCCCCTCCAGCAAAGGTTGCTCCACGGTAGAGCAAGGATTCCCGTCCCCGTCGGATGGATCCAAACCTACTTCCGAGCGTTCCACGAAAACAGAAAACGCCGTCGCTGATGAGACGACGACCACGGACACGGAAAAGAAACCCGCGTTCAAGCAGTCCGACGCGAAGCAATTGACCTCGGAGATGTTCCAGAAGAGACTGTTGGCTGCGTTCCCGTCGAACGAGTGGGCGAACAACCCCATAGCTGCCGAACATCTCGGCAACTTCCTGAAGAGCCTGAACGCGTCCATCAAGTCCGAGGCTAAGTTGGAGGGGATCGCCGCAGAGAAGATCGAGGCTCAATTGGCGTGCAACGACGCTACAACCCGCCTGAACAATGAGGCTTCTTCGAAGTCTCGACCGGACGTTGCTGAACGGTCTTAACCACGTGATACGCTCTGTGTACGAGCGAAATAATTCTTCGTCGGGGAAAGGGAGAAAGCTACGACACTGCCAGATGCGTAGGTCTCGCGAAATGAATTGATCCTAAAGGTCGGTTCTCTGTAGTACCGGGTAGAATCAGATTAACGCGAACAGGGGTGCTTTGGTTCTTCGACGTGTGACTCCAATCCAATTGATAAGGACTCGTTGAACGCTAGTCGAGAATCGCACTATTGTACCCTGATCACGTGCTGTCTTACTACCACCCTTTGCAAATTTTAAAAATCTCCTGGGATCCTTGCACGGTAAAGTACACGTTTTAAATGTCAACGACAACGAAAATCTACTAACGTTACGAGTCTACGTTTTATTGTGCAAACGAGCCCTGCTCTAGTAATTTTATCGACAAAGAAAATTGGAGACCCACGGGGTTCGCCTCTTTCTCTGATCCTCCCGGCTGCGCGTGCGTCTCGTTTGGTTCAATTCATTTCGGGCCAGTATACCAATGTTATCGAATGTCTTTTAGCGTGGATAAACGAAACAATTTGTATCATCTATTTTGAACGCTTGGAAACCTTATAGACGGAGCGTTCTGTGCAACGAGGCAACGATAGAACCGTGCGGGGATAGGTTTCACGTAGAACGATCCTACCACCGGCTGTATCAGCTATTCACGGAACGCTTTGTATGGAACACGGTTCACCCGCGTCGTACAATACAGGGAGAAAATACAGCTCGGACGCTGGAAGATTTTATTTTTTCAAATTTTTTAAGGACACACGTGTACACACGGACACACAGACACACAGGCACACCCTCCGTGGAATTTTAAGCTGTGCGCAGTTGCTTCACCGAGTGTGCAGCGTTACGGGAGTTCCGCGATTCGCCGAGAAACTTTCGCAATAAAATTATCGAAGCGGCCACGATTTTCGAATCTTTCGTACGCGAGGGGTTCTCGCGGAGATTATGTCGGCTCGTACGATTCTGTTGCTTTTCACGTGGCGATTGTTCCTATCACGGTCCAAATGGAACTATGCGAAAGCGGAACGTTTGACCAAGTACCTCGCATTGAATTATGAATTTTCGATCAGATTCGCTGGTCGTTCAGGGTTCACGACCCACCCCAATCCATTGCCTTTAGATGATCATGAACGACCCGTGAGTTTCTACGTCGACGTGAATCGTGATTCGTTTGATCTTTTCATTGATCGCCGTTCAAATGATTGATCACACCGGGCTGCGTACGTTTAGAGAGCTTTACATGTTTTCGGAGAAATTTACAAAAACGAGAATCGAATGAAAAATTGGTTTCCCTTGTTGATCGAAACTTTCTCAACCCTTTCGCTACTACGACACTTGCCAAATATTAATAAATCGACCACTACGGTGCGTGGCGGTGTGGAAATTTGTAATTGCGTGTTCCCTGCTGAAATAATATGTCAACTAATCATTTTTCGTTTAAGCGTACACGTAATAAGGAATCGACGCTTTCCTTATACGATATAATATTTTAACAGTAAGACCACATGGGCCGTTACAGGACCTTTCGTACGCAAAATATCTTTGTGTACGGCGACAACAGTGCCATCTAGTGGCGAAAGGGTTAAACTGGCGATGAAGTAAAATCCTCTGTCGATACTTTTTAATGAGTTTACTGATAAGTAAATCGTAATAAACCGATCACAGGAATAGCGTCGAATCAACAGAACGAAAATTTCGTAGCCACTGGGAAAACTGTTTTTGAAAAACTTTTCCTATTCCTCTAACATATGAATTGTGCGAGTTAGAAAGCACACAGGGACCGAAAATCGAAGGAGAATGTCCGGAGAAACTAGGATACAATTAATTGTATAACGTATGGACGATATCTACGCTATTGTTAGTTTTTTATTTACCTTCTTTGCGTTACGTTTCACTATGAGTTACTACTATGTATACGTTGTACGATAATTGTTATGTTATGCAACTGTATTATATTACATGTATTATTTCTTGATTTGTATATATTTATAATTATACTTAGTCAGTCGTTCTTCGCGAAACGCGCGCAAAATCCTATTACTCTGTAAGTCCAACAACGTTTCTATTCAAATCGATTTGGGAACCTCGTGAGAAAGATCGCCAAAAGTTTTAGAGCATAACCGCATCGAACGCATTGTTGCGATAAGGTGGACATTCATTTCGAATAATAGAGAGAACGGACATGTAACAACTGAAGGAATATATTATTATATACCTAAAAGTAAAATCGTCACCATTTTTCTTTGTCCCTCTATCATTGGCGCGAAAGCAATTCAAACTTTGTCAACCATCTTGGAATAACGGTATTGAGGAAATTCGAGTGTTTTCATTATCGTCGTATTATATTAACAATTGACTCACCGATTCGTTCCCATCATTGTTCTCGTTTCTCGGAAACAACAACGGATTGCCGGACCTGTAAACAATCCGAAAAATTCTATTACAACTCTGTTGCAACTAAATTGCATAGCGACCATATTACGAGTCAGGGGATCGAAGTTCGAAGATTTTATTCTCTTTATCATGGCAAGAACATGATACCTCTACTCCTTATCGCGATGAATTCTTGTTTTGAAGTGTACTGTATCATTTCCTGCTACATTTTCATCCAATCAACACAAAATAAGTTACATGCTTTAGAATTCAAAAATTTTAGGCAACCGTTACGTCCGCGCTACTGCGTTCTGCAAACTACTAGCTGATCATTCTTCCGAAGCAGTGTTGCCACTATAGGGAAAATATAAAAATCAAGAAATGACGACTAACAGAAATCAAATAAATTATTGAATAGATTATATTAAAAAATATAAAAAAATTAATATCCTTTCCTAAATATATTACTCGTATCATGAAAAATTTTATATTAATTATACTAGTAGATTCAGGAAGGCCAACTGCTATAGAAAAATTGACTACAGCGCCATTTGTAGAAAATTGAATAGCACGTGAATGACACTTGTATGACCAAACGCATAAGTTCATGGTTTAAAATCGGAGGTTTGGTAATGGGAAAGATGAAAGGTTAACTTGGTGTGTGAATAGTGTTTGAACGACAAACAGTTTTGCTTTTCTTTGTATTGTAAATGGAAAAATGAGTAGTATGAAAGAAAATTCTGTCGCTCCTGCGAAAAATGCAACTACAGGAAACGCGAAACCGTATGGAAAAATTGTATTAACATTACAAAATTGTCTTCTACCCGATGAGAAGCTTAACTCGACGCCGTCACATTTAGATGGATTGGATGCAGAGACCGAAACTGACTTACGAATACTAGGATGCGAGCTAATACAAATAGCCGGTATCCTACTGAAATTACCGCAGGTTAATAATTTTTTCTAAAAGTAAACAAAATGTTTGTAAACGTTATAACCTCTCTAACCTCTAAATCCTACTGTAATTATTGTTTCTTTAATTGGTTTGGACAGGTTGCAATGGCTACAGGACAAGTAATATTTCAACGATTTTATTACAGTAAATCGTTAGTCAGACATAATATGGAAACAACTGCAATGGGTTGTATTTGTTTGGCTAGTAAAATTGAAGAAGCACCTAGGCGTATCAGGGATGTCATTAATGTTTTTAATCACATAAAGCAAGTTTCCAGTCAAAAGTAAATATGACTCGTTACTTTCAATATAGTCTGTAAATCATTTATATATGTGACTATATATGCATATTTATTTTTGTGACTATGTACAAACATATATGTATTTTTTTTTTAATTTTTTTCAGACCGATACAACCAGTGATATTAGATCAGAATTACGTGGCATTGAAGAATCAAGTAATTAAATCAGAAAGAAGGGTTTTAAAGGAACTAGGTTTTTGTGTTCATGTGAAGCATCCTCATAAAATCATTGTTATGTATTTACAAGTATTAGGTTATGAGAAAAATAAGGCTCTAATGCAACAATGTTGGAATTATATGAATGATTCGTTGAGGTCTGATGTATTTTTAAGACATCAACCGGAAACAGTAGCTTGTGCGTGTGTCTACTTGGGGGCCAGGCAACTTCAACTTCCATTACCTACATCACCTGCTTGGTTTTCCCTTTTTAAAGTAAACGAGTCTGCCATTAGAGATGTATGTCGTCGTATATTACGACTTTATTATCGACCTCGCGTTAAACCAGAACAGTTAGAAAAACGTGTTGAAGAGCTTCGTCGTCAATACGAAGAAGCTAGAACCAAAGCCAGGGGAGGGGATGTCGATAGTCACACACCAAGTCCACCGCTGCCAAAACATCATAATGCCTGGGGTGGTTTCATTAGCCGCAGTGGTACACACGCAGCGCCCGAAAGAACAAAATCTCCTAGGTATAATAATAATAAATAATATATTCCTTAAAGTGTGACCGCTTTGTATTCTAACATGTCCTGATTCTTTTTATCTAGACGTTCGAAGTCTCCAAGTACTTCGCCATCAAGGGGTGAAGGAACAAAGCATTCCAAAAGAAAGAAACATAGCCGAAGCAGATCCCGCAGTCATAGTCATGGACGATCTCGTAAACCAAAAAAAGCGCAACGCAGGCGATCCGGTAGCCACAAATCCTCACGTAGCCGATATAGATCTCGCAGTCGATCACGAGATAGAGATACCGAAAAATCAAGTAAACATCGCAGTAAACATAGACGACATTGAACCATTCGATGTATAAAAAAATGTTTCAGATCACAACAAAGGCACTGCGATCCCATTAGCAGTTGTATCCACTTTGTAATATAATATGAGGCCTTTTTTACCTCCGTTAATTAACAGAGAACTTAAATAGGGTCATTAATTTCCATTGTATGGTACATATCTTGAGTTAATTTAAAAATGATAATTATAGGAATTAAAACAAATCATTTGTAAGAGTGTCCACTCAAAGTACCTTGTAAAGAAAGAAAGAAAAAACCGGTACCACTCTCAGAGAAATATTACAAATAACAATACTTAAAAGGGCGTGTATTTAATACAAATGCAATTTGAAAATAAAGTTTTATATTCATGTAGTACCGTATATCACTTTATAAAATCCAGCTGGTGGTGCTCTCTTCTTCTCAGCAGAAAGTATAGCCGAAAAGTCGAGTGCTGACAATTGCGGTAGGATATGAACAATATATCCTCTGTAGTATTGAAGATTTTCAATGGGGTTTCCGTGCAATGTTAAAGATCGAAGATTTTGCAAGGTTTTGAGCTTTACAACATCGTTGATATTCGATATATCGTTTCCGTGTAAATAAACAATTTTTAAATTTGGGAATTTTGTAATGTCATCGCCGATTTTCTTTATTTCGTTAAAGGAAAGATCAAGCCAGCTGAGGTGTGCAGGATCATCAAGAAGTTTATACGCAAGATTTTCAAATCCGTCCATTGAAGTTAATAAATTATGGCTTAACCAGAACGAACATGTTACAAAACGATCTGTAGGCGTTCGTAACGGAATTTTACCTGTTCGTGCTGCTTGTGGTCGTTTGTCTGCCAATTCTCTTGGAATAAAAGAATAATTTTTACTAAATCTTTTCAGTTCCCAAAGAACAAATCATTCCTTTCTAATATTGCTAATATTACATTTTGATTAGTTGAATGGGAGGATTATATAACATAATAACATACCTCTCATTGTAGTTGCTTTTTTAAATGATAAGTCTAATGGCGCAGCTATCATCATCTCTTGTCGTTCGGTTCGTTTGTAACAAGCAATTAAATCTTCGTACGGAATACTGGTATCCATGACAAATTGAAAAGTATAATTTCTATTTCACGATATTATCAATCTAAATTAAAAGTAATGACTAAACTACTAATGCTGTTGGTACATTCAACGTAATCAATTAGATTTATGATTAATTTTCATTAATATAATCGAAATACTTTCGGTTTCGCTTAGAATTATCATCACCGTAATTTTTCCGAACCAATATAGATAGTCACTTATCCAATAATTGCTAATTAGAAATAATAATTTAAAGAAATACTTTACGTTTTCGTTCACAATAATTTTAAATTTGACTAATTATTTAATGTAATTTTGGAAGTATTCCGTGCGACACAATCTGATAAATTTACCGCGGTTATTCCTTTTGCAATTCAAATTATAGAGACTCTTTGTACGCTTTCCTGAACACTTCAAGACTAGTTTCAGAAACTGCCGTTAGAGTGTTTCCTTGAAGTTATAGTTACCTATGTATTTTTCAACGTCGTATACCATTCTTAGGTTCATGTGATCACTGACATAAAACTTTAAGTTGTTAACGGCGGCAACGGTAAACCGTCGTACACGGAATTGAAAATATTGTTTTAATGTAAGTCTTTCCAGTAAAGTATTTAATACTTAGACTATTTTGGGAGCTGTCTTTGCGTCTAATAGACGTGCACGATACCAAAAAATAGTAAAAGATCTTAACGAATTTATTCTTTGACGCAAGACAAAAAATGCCACGAACGAAAGGTGCTCGGAAGTCGAAACAGAATCAACAAGCCGAGGAAGAATGTGATTTATTAGTAAGAGATTTTAAGAGACGAGCTCAGTTACAGATCTTAAAAATGGAGGCAGATTCGAAAATGACGATAAGAAGTTTCGAAACATTTATTGACGTTACTGTGTCTCGGATTCCGGCGGAGATACGGCAAATGACTCTTGGCGAAATACTTAGCTACGAAGCGGACGATCAAAAGGAGAATTGCACTGAAGTTTCGTCATCTGTCGACGATTGTTCATTACAACCGCCCTCAAAGGTAGCAACAGAAAAGAAAACTACAAAGAGAATTACTACTGCATCCGACGATGGATACGTGACGGAAGGAGTTACGAGATCTAGTCGTGCTTCTAAAACTATAAAAGATGTCGAATCCTCAAGAAACTTCAGAAGAACACGTAGCACTTCTCGAAACAGAAAGATAAATCTTAGCGTAGTTAATCAAGAAACTGTAAAGAAGACTAGAAAGGAACGTGGTAAGGAATCTATGAAAGCTGATAAATTTAAAACTCCTGCATTATTAAGGCCAGACAATAATGAATTTGGTCTTGTGACTCCAAAAGTTAAACCAAATACTCCATTAAATATATTAAGACGTCCACGGCAAGGGGAAATGGTTCTTAGTATGCAAGGCAGCCCCTTATTGGTCACTTCAATTGTACAAGAAAACTTTGCTAATGTTAATGTGCCTTTAAGCAATGGCAACGTAATATCTTTATTGCCTAAAGATGGATTACTACGTATGTCCACCATTCCAGCATTGGATACAGAAACCATGCGGCAGTTGGAAACTTTAAAAAGTCACATTGAAAAAGTTATTTCAACAAAATGATAAATTTTCTTAGAATATATTGTACGTGTGAATGTTATGAGTACCAATGGACAAAATAATTTAAAATTGGTCTGTTTGAATGTTTTTTTTAGCATAAGTAGAATAATAAGTGCCTTTGATATTTGAGCAACCTTTTCTATTACCTTTTACATATAATAATTACAAATGTGTTGTATATTAATATAAAGCTGAGTCACTAAGATACTTGTGTAAAGAAATGTTTCCAGAATTAACTGTTTGAAGCAGAATTTGTGTATTATATAGTTAAGATCATTATAATAGATGTATGATGGTTTATAATATTATAATAAAAATTAAATTTCCCAAAAGTTGTGCATACAACGAATTTCCGTTAATTAGCGATTTTAACAGACAATGCATAAAGGAAAAAAGAATTTACTAAAAAAGTATTTGAAAACTTTATTGATTAATTTTTGTCACATGCATATTTAAATTTATTAAATAAAATTTATCGCATCGACAAACGGTGAAAATTAAGGGCGCGTAGGTTACACATTTATATTTTAATGCACATGCGCGTAGAAGTGAATCTGTCAAATGAACCAAGCGTATTTGCTTTCTTCTACTTTATGATATTAATAGTGCTTTAAATAATAATAGTGTATAAAATTATGTACGCAGTATCGTAATATCGTTTCCTTCCGAGTAGTGCTTGATGCGCTTTTCTCATTGTACTACTATATTTCATCAGTTTCATTATTAATCGCTATATAACAAGTATTATAAATGTTTGAAAAATTATTAGAATGTCAAAGTACTCGGTATTGGGTTCATTAACATGGTTTTAAATTGAGTCAAATATTGTATCACTTGAAAAAGTATAAAGTGATATTCATTTTCTTTTTCTTCATACTTAACTCTATACCTCGCTAACATTGAAAGGTTCCAAGAAGACAACGAATTCACTGCTTTTAACATCTGTATTTAAATAATTTTTATATGAATGATTACATGTAACGGAATGTGAGATAACCTCCAACGAATTGTGCAACGCATACTTTAAAATATGATTTGATTGCAACCTGTATTAAGAGGTACAGGTGTCATGAAAGAAATAAATAACAATTTCTAAAGTAATATTGTGGTTACAATTTGGTCATATAAGTGGTCAACATATTTTAATATATATTGATTTGCTTCTAAGCGTATTACAAGGTATGCTTGTAAATCTGTTCAAGTAGAAGCAACATCATGGTGCGTGTAATTACGGTGCATAATTTCTTGGGACAAAACATCACTCAAATTGAGGAATCAACTGCAAGCTGCATAGCAAATGCATCTGGACGTGAAATGCTCCTCTTAGCACTTTCAACACATTGTGTTGAGGTATGGGAATTGACTGTGTCTGATATTAAATTACACACTGTGTTCCCAACAGTTGACATGATCAGTCAAATGATACATTGTGCTAAGGGTGATTATGTGGTCACATTAGAATCAAAATATGCTAGAGATACGACAATTAATAATCAGATTGGGAAAGCTGCTAATAATTTTGTTAGAATTTATGTCAATTGGGCTATAGTAAAAGATCAAAGTCAACCTATGCGTGCTAGAATAGCAGGACGTGTAACGCCTAGCTTAAATAGGCCACTCAATAGTTTAGAGATGATAGAGCTACCATTGAGTGTACAGCCCACATTAATTGCCTGTTGCCAAAGCACTGGAAATCTTTTAGTAGCTTCTGGAAATAGTGCTATTATTCATGAGTTTAAAATTGAAACACAGCAAGTATCTAAAATGAAATTCATAGACTTTGAGTCAAGACCATGGTCTTTGGGATTTTCATTCTGTCCTACGCACATGGAGATTGTAGAAGATTTCATTTCAGTCATGGATAAATCAAATTTATGCGTTTTTAGACTGACTAATTCAATGTATGAAGATATTGACCAATTGAGCTCTCTAACTTCTACAAATTCTTCATCTATTGATAAGACATCTATATCTACTGATTCATCCCTTGTGGAATATAGCAGTAGCATGGGAAATCAAGATGATAACACAGTATCACAAGTAACCAATTCAAGACACAGAAATTCTACTCAAGATCTTCATTTTGTTACATCAGAAACCAATGATATAAGATCTAAAAATAAAAAACGTAAGAACTCCAAAACAAGCATATGGTATAAACTAGAAACAGGAGATTTTAATGCAATTAAATGTAACAATAATAAAGGTATTATAGATTTGGATCGCTTAATACACAATGAAAAAGATGAATTACAAAGATTGATCAGCCAGGATGTTATTGATGGGAGTTCACAAACACTGACCATCAATTTTCCATCAATAAGTTTAGAAAGAGCAGGACCTGGGCATACTTTAAGCCCTTTTGTATTAAATCCATCAGATGTAAGAGTCATAATTAAAACAAATTCTCCTGATTTAGGTTGGTCAGAGAATTATACAATAAAAAACTTATTGTCTCTTAAAATTGTAGCACCTAACAATAATTCCAAACTTGATGGAAACTCTGAACTATTCAGCTGTTTATTGCTGAAACCGTTGTACATGAGAAAAGAATGCAACAGTTCTTGTCTGAAAAAATCAATTCTCAGGTCAGATAAGTACAGGTATTTGCAGGGTGTAAGTTGTTTCTTATGCACATTGCAAGAAGGTTACCTTTATCACTTTTCTGCCACCTGTTCCAATCCAACGGATGCAACTTGCATGACAACTTATCCATTTACCGCCCCTGTTAATCATGTAGCTTTAGAGCACACAGCTCTACACGCACTAACCGAAGCAGGTCTAGAATCGTATACCTTACGTTTGTCTCATCACGTCGCGAAAATGTCTAGCAACCTGGATAATTTTAAAGTTACATGTCCCAGTGTTGCCGAACCCATTTGCTTAATCGGCTTGCGACCATTTTTGGGGATACAACAACTACTGCACAGCAAAAGCTATCTAATTCTGTTAGCGAAAGCGGATAATTCATGGACACTGTACTCCTTAATCTTACCCAAACTGGAGAATTTATATTACGACATTTTGAATGCAGCGAGAAGTCATAAATCGTCCAGTCCTAGCACCTATAGACATTTGCTTGGTGAAGCCCATGCTTTGATACGTTTAGCGAAAGACACTGTGTGTAATTCTGTGGAAAACGATGACATTGACGACACGTCGAATAAAAATGGTTCGAAACTGAAAAATCTGTACAATCAGTCATGTGCACTTCTCGCTGATTATTATATTCGATCGGAGTACGAATCGGATTGGGATCTTTGCATACCGTATTATAAGATGTCGGGACTAAAACCCGCGGAAGTATTATCCAGAAAGTCGTGTAAAGATGCACCAGGTCTTGTTACTTTCCTAACAGAGATACTTCTAACGCTGAAGAGTGGTTCGGAGGCCGATGCCTTGTTCCAAGGATTTAATATCGTAGAAATGATCTGCAAACTGAAGAAAAACGATTTACTGAAACTAATTTTCGGTAGTCCCGTTTTGCGTGAATACACTACTGAAAAATTGATACATCTTTTATTATTATACGAAACTGATGAACTAGTTAAGCTGGCATTGGCAGTTTTATACATTCAAGCAGAGAAACAGGAACAAGCTGAAAAAATACTTGAACCAGTCTCAGCACAATGCATCAAAAGAGTGATCATCGAACATTGGGACTTATTGTTCGATATGACTGCCATGAGAAAGAGAAGCCCGATGATTCCAACGTTCTCCGATTTCGCTGGCATGTTGATGTGTCAAAAGAATACAACGTTCGCTGAAATCCTGATACAAATAATCGAAGACGATGGAATTTTGTCCCTGCACCAAATAATACAAGTATTTTTGGAGTATCTACCATCGAGGGTAGGTCGGGACGGGCACAATGCAGCGATGGCGTTGCAACTTTTCCTCGAAAAGTATCTGCACAACTACTTTAGTACAAAATTAATCGCAGACTCGTCTGTTATAAATAAAAATCAAATACGCACGGATTTTGCTTTGGTCGAGGCATTTAAGTTACTGGTACGCTCGTACCTGGGCAAACTGTCTCAGACCAAGGTGTACAAACTAGAGAATAAAGAGAGCCTAGACGAAAACTATACTAATTTCATATTTTCGAAGTTTAGACCCGATTACTTAGATAGAATGCCACCTTACGCGAAAGATTATCAAAAGATGTTAAACACGAACAACTTGAAAGATTTAGCGAACATTGATAAGACTGACTCGGAAAAAGCTATACCCGCGGAATTATTCAAGCTACAGTTGTTGCTGTCTTGCGATTTTGTACCGAATGAATGCTTGCACGAAGTGAGACAATTCCTTGACACGCAAGAAGTCGAAGGCAGCTTATCTTTAAAGACCCTGTGCATTCAGGATAGAGAGGAAGTAACTACCATTTTGATGGAAAATTGTCCTCAAGCTGTTGTACAATACGCAAAGGTACATTTTGTACTCTTTAGTTCATTGTCTCCGTTATCAATGTATTCCATTATTTTTATCATGAAATTTGATGTGATTCTGAAATTTTAGGATGTTTATACTAATGAATCTGAATGGAAGTATTTAATCGAATTAACACAAAAGAAAATTTCTGTGTCAAACATGCGACAGGAGTTGCATTGTTTGTACACGCAAATTATGAAAGGTAAATTACTCGGAAGTGTTGATTTCCTTAATTAATGTGTATTCGTTATGTTTAATGTATTCGTTCACATTTCAGAAATTCTAAATTATCTACCGCATACATTGTCATTAGATGGTTTACATCGTGTTGTTCCAAAAGACGACATGATTGCATTCCAAAAATGTACCGAAATGTGCACTCAAATTATGCACGCGGAACACGTTAAATCTTTAATGATGGAAACCGGACAACAACTTTTGTCAACGTTAAAATTATGAGCAACAGTCTTAACTAAATAATTGTATCGTCTTACGACGATAGTGTAGGTCCAATTCATTTTATCCATAAAAATATACATATATAAATATATCGCGAATACAACAACGAGCCGTGTTGTATGCAAATCATAGGAGAGATATATTCAGAACAGAGTATACTTAGTCAAATTTGTTATGAACAATAATTAATAATTCCTCATGTGATACGACATTTGCGAACTCCTATTAACTCGCAATTTATCGCTTACCAAAAGTTACTTGCTATTTTATATAGTTGTTGCATTGTCTATTCTGTATACATTTATGTCCGTTCGTTTTTCTATTTCGCTAACAATTTTTGAAATATTAGTCTCACTTCTATATTGTTTAGATATTTTGGTGGTAAATTTGCAAACAATTATTGTCTACTGCACAATTTCGCAACCATCATTACTATCTAGTCATTTACATGATATTTTAAAAAATGCACATAACTTGTGTTCCAATGTTTTTACAGTAATTATAGCTATGCACAAAATTTTTATGGACGAAGTTTTATCAAAAATTATGTCAAAAACGAAGACAAATACTACAGATAAAATTAATTCATATTATAACCAATTGTTGAGATGTTCTATATAGATATATTATATTGACTCTAGGCGTATGTTATCTTTCCCTTAGCCAATATCAAAATAAAATTAATTATAGAAAGTTCATATAGCTGTCAAACTAGTCAAACATATAAATCTCAGAACAGTTAATAGTGTTACACATCTATTCCATAAATTGCTTTACATGATGAAGTAAAAAATTCTGTAACAATAATTAGATATATTTAAATGTTTTCAATATTGAATTGAAAATTGTTTATATTTTAACTACTAAGGGTGAGGTGACGTGCGTTTAGAAAATCTAATAATGCTAAGATGGTTAATTTTTACTGAATTCGTTAATCGTATGATGTAGTATTTTCATCAATCTCTGAACGTTACGAGATATGTAACTTTAATGTGCCTTTAGGACTAACTTCTCTTTGTTACATATATAATATAATTCTGTTAGAAATGATCTATGATATTTATAAATTATGATAGAAATAATATATCTGTAACTCATATCATAATACTTCTTTACTATATAATTACACTTCGATAATGATATTAATTTAATTTAAAGGAAAATGGAGATTAATTTGTATATCTTTAAGGTCCTAAGGTTAATTATTTTACTCAGGGATTAATTCATTTTTATTGATTCCATAACAATTTTATGTACATATAATTTATAATCCATTTTCGATTTATATAAAAGGAAATAATAGAAGTTGTATACCTGTTAGAAATATTGAATCAAAACAACGTCTAAAAATATAAAGTATCGTAATCGGATATATAATATTGTTAAATTACCCACTCTTGTAGCAGTGAAATATCGAAATCATGAGTCTAATCGATGTTTATATACACATTTCTGAACTATTGAAAAATAGTTTTTAAGCATTTTATTTGTTACCATAAAAACTAAAAACGGTTTATACTCTTTCAACAAGTAGCATCAACAAGTTTGCATATCTTCATACAATCTCGAACTCCTTATTCAACCTCGCTAGATCTCTAAAATAAAAAGAGGCACTCGTTACACATTTAACATTAACATTAACATTAACATTAACATTAACATTAAAAATTTTATTGCAACTGTTTAAATTGTACCTGCTTTCTATGGCATCGATTAGATGGTATTTATACATCAATGAAAGAACAAGTCTTAATGTTGACCAAATAGTATTCGACATCGCTTTCGGTGAAAAGTTTTCACCCTGCGTTCCACGACCAGCTGCTTGTTGATTTAAAGCAGTTAAAAGATGTTCACCAGCTTCTCTACAAGATAACAAAGAATGTTGTACTTATTCAAGAATAAAATATTCGAATATGTGGAAACAAATCCTATTTACTTATATGCGCCAAGCTTGATACAAGAAATTCCCAGATTGTAGCGTGCTCTAATAAATCCGGGAGATAACTTCAAGGCACAATGGTATGCGTTTATAGCTTCTTCTGATTTTTGACCATTAGCTAAAGTTGCACCTAATCTATTCCATAATCTGGAATCCTTGACAAAATACGAAATTTTAAATATAACAAAGTAAGATAAATTAAATGGTATATAAGAAATTCGAATTTTGTACATACATCAGGGCGTACTTGTAACGCTGCCTGGAAACAATCGCAGGCTTTATCATATTCGTTAGATAAATTAAAAAGTACTCCTAGTCCGCATTGAACGTCAGCATCTATTTCATTCCGGGGATTTATTCGTGCTGCTTGAATATATAAATTTTTTACGTCCTCGTGTACATCACTAGAAGAAAAAAGCATAATGTTATTGTAATTGCATATATTGCATGTTATTAAGTAGATTGGATTCTTACTCAAACAAAATGGATGATACATTGTATCTTGAATCATTTTCTACGTTAGACTTTTTTGTTGTAAGATGTTTGTATTTCTCATTCTTTAATAACCATTCTTTTAAAGTTAAACATGCTTGATTCTGATAAGATTCGTTTGTGTATGAAACTGCAAGGGCCATAAGAGCAGCACCATTCATAGGGTCAATGGTCAAACAACGTTTCAAAGCTGGAATTGCTAATGGATCTTGTTCATTTTCAGCTTGAGTTTTACCAAGAAGTAACCAAGCTTCTGGATCATTTTCATTTTGTTTTACTGCTGCCTCAAAACAAAGAATAGCACTTGGTAAATCTCCAGCTTCTAATCTTTTCTTTCCTTCTTCTAATGGATTGGGTACATCCTTCATAGGATTTTCTTCGTGAAATTCATATTCTTTGAATGGATCATAATATGTCTCATACTCTGATAACCATGGATGTTTAGTGGATACTTCTTGAGAAGATATTTTCTCCCATTCATTTTGAAGTCGTAAAAATGCAGGATCAGTACTGTCTACTTCTAAAATACAAACTTTTAGTCAAAAAATTGTCTTATAAATGACAATGTTAAAAGCAGAGAATTAAATGAAGTTCATGACTGACCTGAAGATGCATTGTCTTTTTCAAATTCATCTATCCAATTACCAGCGACCGCCAATTCTTCTTCTCCTTCTTGTTTCATAAATTTCATAAATTTGGAATATGCAACTTTACCATGATCATTTTCTATTGTCTCAGTCGTATTTTTCTCATTAATATCAGTTTGTATTGCATCTATGCTATGCTCTATGTATTCTTCAGCCCATTTCGGTCCTAATCCTAATTCATGCGTTTGTTGAGTCACAACATTTGAATGCTGTTGTATGTTGGGATGCCAGATATCATCAGTATGGTTTTCCTATGAAAAATGTAAACATTTATTCCGTGGCATTCTAATGCTAATGCCATGGAGATCCGTAGGATAATAAATAGAATAATTACACTAAAATGACGTCCAGATTGAAGGTATTGATTTGCCCAAGCTGTATCTAAGCCAGTTAATTCTTGAGCTACTCCTGGAGCTGCTATAGGTGGATGAATATTGTGATCAATTTCTCTCATTTCTTGTAATAAATTATCCATTCTAAATGTCTGAGGACACGAAGCATTTTCTTCTAAAAATTGTTTAACTAACTGATCTGAATCTATAGGCTGATACGGCTCTATATGTCCAAACGGAGGATGTATTCCTTCTTCTTTGAATCCATGATCGTGTACAAAATGTGATGTGAGGTGGATTAAAGAACTAGGTCCACCACAGTCACCCTCAACTAATTCACGAAATGCCATTTTCACTTGGTATTATTATTCACCTAAATCAAAGTAAATACACTTTATTAACTTTGATAATATAGTTCACAGTAGTCCCTAAAACTTACACATATATTTGTAATTATGAACCTTCACACTTTGAAGTTTGAAATTATCATATCTAATAACACACAACAGAACACACAACCAAGTAATGAAATTTTATTAAGTGATCTTACTGTACGTATTTTTTTATTGAGATTACGCACTAAAGTAGAACGTAGTAAAAATATAAAACGATTATTGCGAAAATTGTATGTATAAGATTGAATTCAACTCGATCTGTAAGAAAATGACGACAAATGTCGCGTGCACGTGAAAGAGCAAAGTGCACAAACCTTTTCTTGTTAAAAATGTAATGTAATATTTGTAAAATACCGTAGATGTTACACTAAAAACGTAACTTTTTGTTAAACACTTTGTTGAACAAGATTGTTCATTGCCCCGACATCAGGCAATGTTGGTAATATCTATCAAATAAATTCTGCTGTATAATGGTGGGGTGGATGGAATTATCATAGCAAATGTACGTGTTAATGTTTGATACTAATAAGATGCATATCATAAAGACATTATGCATGAACAATTAGCGCATGAACGTCAAATCAATGAGTTGTTGAGTGTCGCAGTGTCGAATATCTTTTTCTAAAGTGGCTATACATTGTGGTCGTGTTAGTAAATGGTATATGCAATTGCAATTGTAAATTCGCAACTGTTAATATTTTCTTTCGATGATGGTTAAAAACCTTTCATTTGTTGAATAATTATATAACTAATTAAAAATTTTATGAGTATTATATCTGCATTTTGTCTCTTCGAGTATTTGATAAAGATGAGAATCTTGACGCCATAAATAATATAATTTTAAATAGCATACACTTTATAAGGGAAAATGATAGTTTACTTTATTGTATCCAAAATATATAAGAAAATATTAATAAAATCGGAAAGTATCCCTTAAATATTATAATTGGACAAAGTTATTGGAAAACATTCCACGTGCAAATCTATCGCAACGCCATCCTGTGATCAATGTGAGAGGAAACTCGTGGCTCACTCGGAAAACAAAGTAGTTTTGATTTACTAGATTCTTCAATCCCAGTGTTATGAAGAAACATGCACATTTCTTTCTTTTGATTTAGATGATTTTATGAGGAAATTTTCAATTCTATACACAAATATTTTAAGATGACTGATTTTGCGAAAGCGCAGCTTTTAAAATATGGTTGGACTGAAGGTATAATTTTGGAGTAATTTATCATGTTTTCTTAGAAATTATTCTGTAATTTTAATAATTGTTCATACTCTTGTCTTAAAACAGGGAAAGGTCTAGGTAAAAATGAAAGTGGTATCACAGATGCAATAAAACCAAAACTTAAGTTTGATTTAGCTGGAGTAGGGCATAAAGATGAAGATTGGAATGAGTGGTGGGCAACTAGTTTTAATAATGCAGCTAACAACATTATAGTTCAGCCACAATTGCATGGTGTATCCATATCTGTTTCAAATGAAAATGAAAATGAATCATTTAAAAAGCATTTAACCAAAAAAAGTTTTAGCTACGGAAATTTTCTTAAAACTTCCACACTTTTCAATGGCAACTCAGTGCAAGAAGATAGTGCAAACATTATTAAACAAGAAGAAGAAACAAAACTGGATATTAAACACGTATCTTTGACAGATGATGAGTTATTTAAAATATGTGGTGGTAGAACTGCTCACAAGGGTGCCAGACATGGACTAAAATTAAATGGTAAATTAAAAAGAATTGAAGAACAGGAAAAAAATTTCTTACAGAAAAATAGTAGTAAGTCTGAGAAAGATATATGTGATTCAGATGAGGATACTTTACCTATTAATCTTCCTTCTGAAGAAAAAAATATTCCAAAGAGTTCTAGAAGTTTAAAAAGGAGTAAAAAACGACTAAATGATTTAACACGTCAGTTAAGTACTTTATGTAATATAAGCGATACCGATAATACATGTAAAGAAAGCACTTTTAATGATGAGAGTATACAAAACTCACAATCAAAACGGAAGAAAAGGAAAGTAAGAAAAGAGAGTTTTCTATGTCTGAAAAAAAGTATAAAGGAAAAGAAAAAAAAACATCAGAAGAATAAAAAGAATAATAAGCGTGGAGTACTTCACCAAATTGAGAAGGAACATATTAATATGTTAGATTCTACAATATATAGAGAGATTTCTTCCACAGACACTTCGATAAATCCCAGTGAAGACATAGATTCATTTAGTTGTCCAGAATCTTTAAATACAGATTTAAAAACCGAGGCAGATACATTAAATCACAAAATATCAAGGAAAAAGAAGGCAAAATTTCGTGCAAAAGAAAAAAGAAAAATTCAGAATATAATGGATGGTTTAGAAGCTGTTTATTTGAATACTGAAGATACTTCTGAAAAAATTAGTAATAAAAAGAAATTAGATACAGTAATAGAAACAATGGTAGGAATCAATATTGCGATAGATAAAACAGAAACAATGCAAAAAAGAAGTAAAAAGCAAAAAAGGGGTAAAAAGAAGAAACAAAGTGTAAAATAATTTTTAAAATAAAAATTTGTATAATACAATTATTATGCCTAATGTATTTAGCATATTTATTATCTCAATATACAAATCAATATTTTATAATACTTTTTTTATTAGTTTTTCCTCATACTCAACAAAGTAGTAGGAATTCCTAAATAAAAAACAAAGTTAATAATATAAATCTTTGGCAATATTTTGTATTATATTTAAATTTATTAAAAAATATGTACAGTATAATTAAAAAACAGTTGTACACAGAAGATGTACACACTATTAGATTCTTATGAAAATTGTAAATATTAGGTCTACCTTTTTAATATAAAAGAATCACGTTTTCCAATTTTTTAGTATATTTTTGTCTCTCAGTATTACATAATTCATTATTGGACACGTAAATATTTGATAGTTTGATAGATGTACGTAACAAATCGGTTGTACATTTATATGAATTCCTACAATTAATATAATTTTTTTATTTTTGTAATTAGCTATACTGTATATACTGACATATAGTTCGCCTTAAAAAAATTAAACGCGAGAATTTTTTTAATTAATATTCGATGTCAAAGATAAATAACGTTTCTTGCTAAAAAAGATAAAATTTGTTTGGAAACACAGAGGTGATGACCTTTATATAAGTACATACAGTAAACATATAATTTAACTACTGTATAGCACCAAATTTTATACCATACTAAGAGATTACAAAGTTTATTTTTATGAGCAATATATTTGTACAAAATAAAACAAATTTTCTAAGGCCACTAGGATACTCCGTAGAGTCATTAGTAATCTTAGTTTCGTTTACGCTAGTGAACGAGTCTCACTCGAAAAGCTTAATAAATAGTAGACAGTGAATTTGTTTTACATATTTGAGCTAATAATTGATTTCAATATTGACATCCTAGATGTATATTTTTTTCGGTAGGATCAAATCGAGAAGTGTAACTTATTTTGGATTTCGTTATCAATCAGATAATAATAAATGTAATTACCCAAATGTTTAAAATGCGATTACTGTTATCATTATGCTAGTCTTATTTAATGTGTCCCAATAGATTCTTGAAAAATGTAATATATACTATATTAATTATAATTAAATGTAATTATCGTATATGTTGGATTCCATAAATCGAAATTTTAAATGCTAATTGTATATTTAGTGATACTTAAATATGTATCCATAGCGCACTCTCATCAATTATATGGTATAGGGGACACATTCATTGAAGAATTGGATGGATGATATTACTTTTAATATTTGCGTAATGTTATCAATAAGGAGCATCGTTAAATTAAAAAATAATATCGTCTTCGAAACAATTGTGGTATCCATATAAATGGAAAAATATTTATATTATTTCATACGTGGCATTATGAGCATTCAAATTTTAAAGAAAATAAACTATTTGTTTATAGAATAAATTTATCAAGAGCTATTAACATGAAGTACAGTTAGCAAAATATATACAATTCTTCGAGAATGCGTATAAAAGAAATATCTATTTCAATGAAATATCTTTTCACAGAAGTCATAAGTGCAATATACTACACTTATAGCACATGAAATATGTATTTTCAATTATATATTACACTGTCATGTATATAGCAAATGTCATAAGTATTTCATTATAATAAGGAATGTAAATATATTGCCCAATAGATGTTGTTCATATTTTATAAAAATATAGGAAAAATTTTAAACAAAATACAATTATTCAAACATCACGACATGTACATAATATCAACACATAGTACAATATGTAAGTCTTTTAATGAGATTCTAAAGGAAGCATGATAAGATTGAGGAAACCGTTTGGCAATCTACGGTACGAGATTCAATATGTTAAATTATCATCGCTCTTCCGTATGTTTTACTATAAATTTCTTATAATTGGCTATATTATTTGTATATAATCAATCGACGTATTTATGAACTATATTAATGAATTATATGTTCTTTGATTCTCGTGTAATTTCAAATTTCTTTAATGGAAGCTGTATAAATGCTTGATACTTAATCATCAAACTTTTATACATTTAGGCAAAGAATTTAACTGTTTATACAAGAAATCTAATTGACAGCGTTTCCTTAAAAACTACTGCTATTCAAATGGAAAAATAGTGTATAAAACCTTCATTAATTATCATTAAACGTCAAATACAAATCTTTCTTGCAGTAGAAATATACACCAGAGATTGTAGTGTTGTTAAAAGAAATCTAAAGGAAGCACAGTTTTTAGTTCAATATTTAAAAGTGTTTTCAGATCTATTAATAATACTTATGTAAATCTTGAATTACTCTGAGATAATATCCATTGGTCTACTTCAGATCTTTGTGTTCATTAAAATGTTAGTTTAGTGATGTTGTTTTAACGAACATTAAATTAACAATAAATAACAAGTCCAATATTTAAAAATATTAGATGATAACATAAATAAGTTCGGGTGTAAGTATGAATATGTCTTAATTATAAAAATGTAATTATGACTTATTACAAACATGTATAATTGTAATGGACAAGAAGCCAATTCTGATCAATTTATATCTAGCAGTGCTAATGTTATTTCACTGATTTATCAAAAGTCATAATGCAAAAGAAAATGTTGAATATATCCGAACGTATTTATGTTACAACCCAATACTAGTTACTTCAAACACATTTGTTCGTAGCTCTTCGTTTTACTATATAATATCCAACATTTCTACCATTTCTGCTCAATGTAATTGATTTTTTATCAGTATGGGTATGAGTAATGCAAGGTAGATTTGTATCATGTAATTTGTTCCAAATTACATACATATTAGATGCATTTACTTTGTGTGCTGTGATAACATTTTTTAACATACAAGGATCCAATTTCCTTGGTACATAACTGAAACCGAGATGATTTACAGGCCGGACTTTGGCACGTTTCGCACAAAGACCTGTGATGTAAACATCTTCTAAATGAAGTAATGGCATTGTTAATGCTGCTCGATATAATTTAAATGCAACGTCTAGACTCATTACATATCCTGTACCTGATAAATAATTAGGATATATTTTTTCTGAATACATATACTTTGGTGTGTACCTAGTGAAATATATTAATGTGAATTTTAATAACAGATTTCATTACATACAAGTATACTAATCCCCTGTTACTTACCATTTGTTATGTGGATCTAGAATAGGTTTCGCATTGCAAATAAGAGATCCTAATAGTGTATTAGTAGATTGGGATCTGGATTGTAATGTTTTCATTAACATAAGAATATTTACAAACATGTCATCATCAGTTTTCATTAGATATTTAGCTTCTTTACAATTGGATGTTATCCATTTCAGCATCATAACAGACTTTAATGTTAAGTTATTATATGTATCATAAAATTTTTCTTGAATAATATCATTATATTGTTGACTTTCTTCTGCTATTATATTCTGTAAAACAGTACAGCTGTCAAATTCATGTTTACAACTTTAATTCATGAACTCTCTTTAGATACTGGTACATACATTAAGCGTGTCATTGTCACTTTGTCCCAGGAGAAATGTCACTTTTACTGTTGAATTATATACATTATCTAAAGCACTTTTATTAGCCCATGTATTCCTTATAGCTGTTCTAGCTTTGAGATTTCCAACAGCAGAACAAATAACTATTAGTAGATATGGTGGTGGAGAACAAATACCAATAGGATTCAAAATTGATGTTGTATTCTCTGGATGAATGTATGTACACAGATCTCTGGAAGTATTATAAGTCCATCCGGGCAACTGTGCTGTAAATGAATGTGTTTAAACACATGTGCTTCTTTTTTTGTGTATAGATAAATTCATAAGTTCTTTTTTCATAGCTTTTGCTTTTATACATGCTAGAAGAAAGAATTGCCCATTCAACTTTAGCAATATTCAAGCGCACTACAATAAATACGTAAAAGAAGAAATGCCAAATAATTTATGCTACCAATAATTTTACTAATTTAATTTATGTTTGTCTTCTACTAAATGCCTATGAACTTTGAAATAACACAGAGAATCTGTGTTTATTTCTATGATGATGACATTTGTTTATAAATTCTTTATACTTCTAATTGTTCTTATTCGTAAACTATATCTATTAATCTATATTAATTAATAATTGATAATTAGAAAATAGAGAATAAAAACAAAATCAATGATTAAGACTGATTAGTTTATAATTACAACAGGATTCCAAGCACTGTTAGTGAATGCATACCCAGGGATGCTACCAAATGCGTATCACCAATAGACTTTGCAGGGGACGGAGTCTCACCTAAGCCTGAGAAAGAGCTTTGGGCAGAATGATATGCTGGTACATATAATAAACCTAGTGTAGCCAAAATAACAAATCCTACTGCTAATCGTTGAACAAATGATATTTTTCCTTTAACTGTTCCATTACTATTTATATTGGTGGCTGATGGTAATTCCAATGGCAACAGCCGCAATCTATCCATCTAAGAATAAACAACATATATTGTTCAATATTAAGATTATAAAATATACAACTAAATGTAATATGACTTATTACTATTAAATAAGATTTTCCTTTGAGTTAATGTTTATTAAAGTCAATATTGACATTCAAAAGGTCAACAAACATCTCACATAATGTTATCAAATCATTAATGTCTTGGTTTCAAAATTAAGAGTGCAGTAAATCAAAGTATAATTACAGATTTAAGTATGGAGAATTATAGAGAATAATGAAGAAACGAAAATACTGTTATAGCATACATAAAGAATCTTGAATATTCTTGTTGTATTTATAAATAGTTAAAATTACTACGATAATACTATATTTATTAAAAAATTATGAAAATATTTAATTCAAATATAGATGTTTAACACTGTGTGTTCAATACTGTTAACAGTGCTGATTATATGCAGGAGTATTATTTAATATCTCCGAAATTGAAAACTCGCTTTTTCTTGCAATAAATAATGTAACGCATAGTAAAAATTCAAAACAAACAATATAATCCAACTACTAAACGAGATATATAGTAAACAATCTTACCTTTGAGATGTGATTGCGTTACGCTGCATTTGGCAGCACTCCATTTACTACTCTCGTAAGTTTGAACTTACGATTCGTAAAAAGATATCATGTGATTTTGTTAATACATTTTTGTAGTCGACAAGTTAATAAAAATAAAGGGTTCTGTTCCAATACAGTTCAATGCCTCGCATCGACTCCTACAGTCACCAGTGTTACTGGCACTGTAACTGCGCTATTCCCTCATTGTTACTACCAATGAGAAATAGGATAGATTTGACACCTCGCGGGACTTCGTGTGCGAGGTCTAAAATACCGATCGTGTAAAAAAAGCGCACGTTTTACTATGTCTTCTACGAGGTGGAGTGGCAAACTTAAGAATCGATGTAAATCAATTATATTGTTGGTGTGATCACAAGTTGCAGTATCTACATAGCTGTTCTTGTTTTTATAATTCTAGTATGTGTACGGTAGATGGCTAGAAAGTAGTTTTACTCCATGAGCAACAGTACCTGTCAAGAGAAGTTATATCTTTTTATGATTTTGATTTGTTATAGTTGATTATTGTAATCTACATTTGCGACATCATTATTGGCGATTATAATTTCCAACATAAGTATTGCACAACACTATCATTAGTAGTGACATTAAGGAAGATGAAAAGAAAGTAAAAAATGGTTAAAGTTTATATAGAAGGTTGAACACATTGACAGCTTTAATATGAGCTATTCACACTTGTAACTTTTATTCCGTTTATTTTAATATCTCTAAAGTACAAATGAATATATGTTTTTGATAAAAAGAAGTGAAATTATCATTTATATTAGTAACTAATCTTCAGTCATGATCAAAGCTATTCTAGTATTCAATAACCATGGAAAACCTAGACTCTCCAAATTTTATCAGTACTTTGTAAGTATGGTAATACAAAGTTATAATAGTCATTATTGGTCAAGACTTACTGAAATAACATTTTCTTCTTCAGAATGAGGACATGCAACAACAAATTATAAAAGAGACATTTCAATTAGTTTCAAAAAGAGATGATAATGTCTGCAACTTCCTGGAAGGTGGAAGTTTAATCGGTGGATCTGATTACAAACTAATCTATCGCCATTATGCAACATTATATTTTGTATTTTGTGTTGATAGTTCAGAATCAGAGTTGGGAATTTTAGATTTGATACAAGTTTTTGTGGAAACGTTAGACAAATGTTTTGAGAATGTATGCGAGCTGGATCTAATTTTTCATGTAGATAAAGTTCATTACATACTAAACGAACTGGTGATGGGTGGAATGGTTTTAGAAACTAATATGACTGAGATACTTTCAAGGATTGATGATCAAAACAAATTGGAAAAACAAGAGGTATGTAGTCCTTTTAGTACATAACATTTGAGAAATGGACATATGTTTGAATGTTCAAGCTTTAGTTGTATAGTTGATGAGTATTTAAAGATAACAGATTTTGTACATAAAATAGCAGTGCACTGTGATAAAATTCAACTCGATAGAGTCATACTTGTGTTAACTAATTTTTAAAAACATCCCTTAACTTTTTGGGCCCAATTCAATAGCAATTGAATACATAATGTTGGCAATATAGATTTATAAGTAGAATGAGATTTAAAGTTCATCGAGCGTAGTTATCTGGGCTTGAAGAAGTTAACAGCCTATAGCAGTTTATTCGTTAGCTGTGCATGCATTGGAATGTTTCGTAGAGCAGTTTCATATGGTGGTAGGACTGATTTACCTAACATGAATTTTAGGGAACTTACAAATCAGGACGATCTTGCTCACCTCGTCCGTTTGTCCTTCTGGGGCCCCCTCCCTAAGTAAATCGGCAGTAAAAAAATCAGACCATTTTGTACACTCTCATTCCTATATATAATTTATCTGTGATCTCTCTTTTTTTTTTACCAAGAATTTCAAAACATAAGTCTTTCGTAGCTTTACAAGACAAATACTCATAACACGCATGGTGGTGCTATTGTTTGTAAATGTCTGCTCGGATAACAGTGCCTTAATGCAAATGTATACGTCGCTATGCTCGAAGAATAAAATATGTACTGCGTAGCTACTCATTTGTCTTTACTTCTACTATTTAACTTAAGTTCGATTGAATCCTTAAAATTTCTCCGTTTTCCATTTTTTCCATCCATATGGTATGTGCAGGCAGGAATCACAGCAGCGCCGGCGCGTGCTGTTTCTGCTGTCAAGAATATGAACATACCGCAACAGATAAAGGATATGAAGTTGCCTGACTTGCCCCAGGCTATAAAAGATCTCAAATTCTGACCAGCCGTTACTTCGTTGGCCCCGAGCTGACTGGTTTCCTCTACAGTTTCGAGTGCAAGCAATACCACAACAAGGGTTTTTTTTCCTTCCCTACAATTGAATGAAAATGCACCAATACTGCCTACGAATTCTCCATATGTTTCTTCTCAACAGTACCAGAATTAAAAAGTGAAGATTGTTTTGTCTGTGAAGGTTCTTAGAAATCATTTCATGACAGTGAAGAGGATATTTCTTATGAAATTTTAGAAAATACTCATACCTGACTTTAATACAGAAGAGTTGGAGTAACTGAA